CCCTTGGGGATAGTGGGAAGAAATGAGCTGGTAGAGAAAACTGACATTAAATAAACACAGAGAACTTTCTGTTGTGAATAAATGTTCTTTATCTTTTTTAAGGGCACTTACAGTTGTCAAAAATCTTAGACTAAAATCTTAAGATCTGTACATACAAAACAAAAGCCATTGGTTAAAGATGAGAGATTGAATACCGGGGGTTGCTTGCTTCTGAATTCTCAGTGGTTAAATCAGTTAAGTTATCAGTTAAGATGCCACTTCAGATGGTCACATCTTCTATCAGTATGCCTGAGTTTGAGAATCTGCACTCAGGACCCAACTCCTGAGTTCAGCTTCCACTCCCAATTCCAGATTGGCATAACCTGGGAGGCAGCAGGTGGTAGCTCAAGTTTTTAGGCTCATGCCACCCGTGTTGTCATATTGGAGGTCTGGATTGAGTGCCTGGCTCCTGGTTTCAGTCCAGCCTGGCTCTGGCTGTTGCAGACACTTGGGGAATGAACCAGTAGATGTGGAATTTCTCTCTCTTCCTCCTCACATTCCTGCCCTCCTACCCCCCATGCTTTCAAATAAACAAAAATTGAAAAAATATATGCTTAAAAAGTAAATAAATAAATCCTCACTAATTTACAGAGAGATATTTCTTTTTTTAACTTTTATTTAGTAGATATAAATTTCCAAAGTACAGTTTATGGATTACAATGGCTTTTTCCCCCTCATAACTTCCCAGCCACCCAACAACCCTCCCATCTCCCACTCCCTCTCCCATTCCATTCACATCAAGATTCATTTTCGATTATCTTTATATACAGAAGATCAATTTAGTATATATTAAGTAAAGATTTCATCAGTTTGCCCCCACACAGAACACAAATTGCCAATACTGTTTGAGCACTAGTCATATCATTAATTCACATTGAACTACACATTAAGGACAGAGATCCTACATGGGGAGTAAGTGCACTCCTGTTGTTGAGTTAACAAATTGACACTCTTGTTTAAGGCTTCAGCAATCTCCCCAGGCTCTTGTCATGAGTTGCCAAGGCCATGGAAGCCCCCTGAGCTCGCCAACTTTGATCTTATTTAGACAAGGTCATAGTCAAAGTGGGAGTTCTCTCTCCCTTCAGAAAAAGGTACCTCCTTCTTTGATGGCCCGTTCTTTGCACTGGGGTCTCACTCGCAGAGATTTTTTTTTTTTTTTTTTGCCAGAGTGTCTTGGCTTTCCATGCCTAAAATACTCTCATGGGCTCTTCAGCCAGATCCAAATGCTTCAAGGGCCGATTCCGAGGCCAGAGTGCTGTTTAGGACATCTGCCATTCTATGAGTCTGCTGTGTATCCCGCATAAACAGGACTAGTGTCTGCTAATACTAACTGATAGAATTAAAAAGGGAGAGAACGATCCAACATGGGAAGCGGGATACACAGCAGACACACAGAGAGATATTTCTTTGTAAAAGCAAATGTCCACACATGAGAGAGATCATAACTACAAAATTTTCAAGCAGAAACATGTAGTTAGCAAGCCCAAGAAAAGGCATAAAATAACTCAATTTTCACTGTATAAATTCTAAAATACTCAAAATTAGTAGTGAGGATAAAGGGAGACTAAAAGGAGGAGGATTGTTTGTAATTCTATTTGAAACTAGGTAGAGCCTTATCTACTCCCACAATCTATATCTAAACAACTGCTCTCACCTCACCAGAAGTGCAGGAGTTGATTCCCTGCACAGACCACAAACAGATGTTCCCCAGACAGGGGCATCAAATGTAGTTGAAGATGGGATTTTCTATTGAAACTGGAAGCCCCCCTGACAATCTGTCTGCATTCAAGGGTTGACATTCCCAGGCCTCTTCCCAGTCTGTCTATAACTAAATGTTGACATCCAGCTCTAGACCCTGAAAAGGCACTCAACAGGAATTTGAGTTCTGAAAAGTTGGATCAGTCCATGGTGAAGTAAGAAGGGCAGCAAATCCTAGCCAGAACCCGTCAGAAGGATTTGGGAGACCCAACTCCAGGGAAATTAAATTGATAGATTCATGTGATGGAAAAAACCTGGAAACTTAGATAATTGGGGAAGTGTTTGAGTTTGAATTTAAGGATGAGCCTATAATAAACCAAGGAAACAAGCAAGATACTAACTCCACAGATAACAGAAAGTTTAGAATGAAAGGAAAGTAATCAGAGAATGGCATGCATGTGAATAGCTTTTCCAGGATCAATACTGAATATTGATTCATGGAAAAAATTATGAATTATAATACAGTTTTGTAAGAGTCAAAGGTGAGTATGAGTGTGTGGGAGTGTGCATGGTAAGGAGGTGGGAGTGAGTAATAACCAAGAAGTTTCATCTTCCATAGAACAAAGATAATAGATAATTACATAACTGAAAGATTAAGGAGTAATAACAAACAGTACTAGAAATAAACACCAGAAGCAAGGGTTAAAAAAGTTGCCTCCAGCGGCCCGGCGCTGTGGCACAGCAGGTTAATTCCCTGGCCTGAAGCGCCAGCATCCCATATGGGCGCCAGTTCGAGTCCCGGCTGCTCCACTTCCAATCCAGCTCTCTGCTATGGCCTGGGATAGCAGTAGAAGATGGCCCAAGTCCCTGGGCCCCTGCACCCATGTGGGAGACCCAAAAGAAGCTCCTGGCTCCGGGCTTCAGATCGTCACAGTTCCAGACATTGCGGCCAACTCGGGAGTGAACCATCGGATGGAAGACCTCTCTCTCTCTCTCTCTCTCTCTCTCTCTGCCTCTCCTCTCTCTGTGTAACTCTGACTCTCAAGTAAAAATAAATAAATCTTTAAAAAAAAAAAAAAAGTTGCTTCCAGAGAGCGATAAATGGAAAAGGATATGAGGGGTAGTGTTTGACTCTTTGAATCATATGCATTTCTTTTTTTTTTAACTTTTATTTAATAAATATAAATTTCCAAAGTACAGCTTTTGGATTACAGTGGCTTTTTCCCCCCATAACTTCCCTCCCATCTCCCGCTCCCTCTCCCATTCCATTCACATCAAGATTCATTTTCAATTATCTTTATATACAGAAGATCAATTTAGTATATACTAAGTAAAGATTTCAACAGTTTGCACCCACACAGAAACACAAAGTGTAAAATACTGTTTGAGTACTAGTTATAGCATTAATTCACGTTGTACAACACATTAAGGACACAGCATATGCATTTCTAATTGTGGTCTTAACAAAGAAGTCAAATAAAATAATAAGGGTATTTAGAAAAAGAATTTCATGAATCTTAGATTATGAAAGTTTGAAAACTCAATGAAATTCGAAGATAGTCTCAGCAAGTTGAGTAGCAAAAGGAAGGTAAAAGGGGGCCAGCGCTGTGGCACAGCAGGTTAAAGCACTGGCCTGCAGCACTGGCACCCCATATGGGCGCTGGTTCAAGTCCCAGCTGCTCCATTTCTGGTTCAGGTCTCTGCTATGGCCTGGGAAGGCAGGCAGTGGAAGATGGCCCAAGGCTTGGGCCTCTGCACCCATGTGGGAGACCTGGAAGAAGCTCCTGGCTCCTGGCTTTGGCCTGGCCCAGCCCCAGTGGTTGTGGCCATCTGGGGAGTGAACCAGCAGATGGAAGACCTCTCTCTCTCTCTGTCTGTCCCTCTCTCTGTAACTCTGCCTTTCAAATAAATAAAATAATTTTTATCTTAAACAAAAAAAGATAAATGATGGAGTAGTTAAATAGACACTCAGGAAAAGATGAGATTGAAAGAATAGTGATAGTTTGCCTTAGTATGATTCTTTAGGTAGCTAACTAATGGTGATTATATTTATCTAGGACAGGAATGATCATAAAGAGAGAGAAGCAGTGAGGAGAGTCTGCTGAGGAGAGAGGGAGTAGGTGAGGTACCAGAGTCCCAGATGAAGTGGTAGATGCTGGACTCAAAAGAAAGATTAAAGGGTCAGCTTTTAAAAAGAAGGGGATCATCTTTTCTTGTAAAGCAAAAGTGAAGAGGGCAGGATCAGTGAGCATGTAGATGCCATTCATGATGAAGGAAAGGATTAGTAGCAGCACTCAGGACTAATAGTTTCTATTTTCTAATTGGCAGTGGTGCCTAAAACATGGGATTAGAGACTGAGTCTCCTGATGGGCTGGGACTGGGCTCCCTGTTGAGGGTGAGACTCAAAGTGTGTGTGTGAGCCAGCGTGGGCTGCCATGACGGACTGTGGGTGTGAAGTTTCCACCATAGAAGCTTGCTTTCTCACAGTCCTGGAGGCTGGAGAGTCCACCATCAGGGTGCTGGCAGGGTTCCCAGTGAGGTCCTCTTCCTGACCCCAGACAACCACCTCTGCCTGTGTCTTCACATGGCAGAGAGAGCAAGATGCAGAGACAGCAACAGAGCCCACTCACTCATCTCTTCTTCTAGGGACACTAATCCTGTCTGATAAGGACTCCTCCCTTATGACCTCATTTATCTCTAATTACCTTCTTACCACAAATACAGCCACATTGGGAATTAGGACATCAATCTAGAGTTTTAGAGGGACACAGTTTAGTCTATAGCATGTATAATTCAGCACAAATTCAGCACAAAGTTAGCTTTCCATTCATTTCCGGCCACCTGAGAGCAGGAGAGAAGACAGATGGCTTCATTGATTCATTTTGGGGAGTTAGCAGTACAGACTTAATGGTAGGTTAAGGTGACAAATGAATCGAAGAGCTGCTGAAAGTACTGCTACAATTATTGACCCTTGGTTTCAAGAATGGCAGAAACAGAAGTCAGAAAAGAGCTGGGTTTAGATTAGGCAAGGGGTGGAGAGCAGAAGCCTGAGTGGCTGTCTTCTGAGGTCAGAAGGCCAGAGCACAAATGGCAGCTATTTTACAACCTGCCATCTGGAGGAGGGGTACCATCACCTGGGGACATAATTGTCTGTTTCTATATTTGCAACCTTCATAGTAGAAATAAGGGAGGATTATGAAACTGGAAAAAGGATTTAGGTTCAACGGTGGTTGTAATCATTGGTCTTTATCCTTTCTTTTTAGACGACTGAACACGTTGAACAAGTGTGCCTCAATGAAACTTGATGTGAACTTCCAAAGGAAGAAGGTGAGTGCCCACATGTTAACAAGGAGCAGGATTACACCAACAGAACCTAAGCAAACATTCAGAAATGTAACCTCTGTCTATGTTTGTTCTCTACATTTGCCATCTTACCATAATCCTCATAAATAATCCCACAATTCACTCAGGCTGAGATCAGTTTATTTTACTTGTTTATTCGCTTCATTTTTTTTAATTAGACAGTTTTCATAAAGATGTAAAATATCTCAATTGTGATTCAGAAGTTTGTTTAGCTATAAATATCAACCCCATATTGGACTCAAATCCTCTACAGTGATTAGTAGATTAAGACTGTTCAGAAAAGATCTATGGACCCACACCAAAAGTGTCTTCTAGTTCATTCTTTCCAGCAGCATTTTATTTTAAGGACATATCAAGATTGCATTCCCTCTCAGATTCAATTGATAATGGGTTGAGGGCTTTGAGGGACAGTATAACCACAAACTATTGAGTCTGCCTCATCTCTCGCCATGATCTCCCCTCACAAGAGTTTGGTTAGCTTTAAAAGCCACCTCGCTGCCTTCCCCTTATAGGATTGTGCATTTACTGTTCCCTCTCTGTGAATAAGAGGAGATTTCAGTCTCAAAATAAAGCTTTACAGGTTGAGTGCTGCTAATCTGAAATCCGAAATGCTCCAAAAACCAAAACGTTTGGATCATGATGTCAGCACTCAGAAAGTTTAGGATTTCAGGGCACTTTGAAGTTTACATTTTTTATATTAAGGTTGCTCACCCAGTTTAGTCTATGCCAAAATCTGAAACACATCTAGTCCCAAGGATTTTTGAATAAGGGCTATTCAACCTGTATTTTATTGAGCACTTACTGTGTTCCAGGAGCTAGATAATACACATTGCACACATCTCATTTACTCCATGGAGGTAGGGCTTGTCTGTTTTCTAGGTGAGCAAAGTAAACCCTGAACGAGCTAAGTGTCTTGCTGGTACTCATGCAGCTAATAGCAGAGCGGGCTTGCAACTTGAGGCATGTGTAACTCCAAAAGCAAGATCCTAACCACTGTGCTGTGCTGCCTCCCTTTCTCACCAAACGGATCCTTTTTACAAAATTCAGAATTCAGATCATGGATGCCTTTTTCACTTAACATCTCCACTATGTGACAAGCCCCAGGCAGAGAAAACAGCTCTGGGTCGAAGAAAGTGTTCTTTATTCTGGTTCACACAGAGAAATCATTACATTGAATGGATTTTGAGTCATTCCTGAGTAACCTAATCGTTAAAAATAACTCCAACCTGAATTTCTGCTCTAAAATAGCAGTGCCCTTCCCCCAAATAAAAAAAAAATCAAATGGATTTTGGTTGACCTCACCTTAAAAACAATTTGGTGTGTGAACTGGGAACTGAAGATTTAAGCTAAGGAGGTAAAAAGGTGAAAGACAATATCCAGAGAAATATTAAAACATGAGCAATTTGTCCAGGCCAAAGACAAATTAAAAACGTGGAAATAAACCTCCTAACAGCTGTCTGGCTGAACGGCCCCCTTGAGAAGCATACCTACTATTTGAAGCATGAAGGTCAGATGTTGTTTTGATTGTAACACATGGTTCTTATTAAACCGCACACAGCCATGCCTGTGTGACTCAAGTGGAGGTCCTCAGATGGCTGCTCTGTACAGCTGCCTATCTAGATGGTTAGCTGTAGTGTCCCACAAAAGAAAATGCCAGGGGGCTGGGTGTTTAGCACAGCGGTTAAGACTGCTTGGGATGCCCGCATCCCATATCAGAGTGCCTGGATGGAAGTTCCTGCTCCACTTCTGCTTCCAGCTTCCTGTTAACTGTGAACCCTGGGAAGCCGCAGGTGATAGCTAAAGTACTGCCACCCACGTGGGAGATGTTACAGATTGAGTGCTGGACTCCTAGCTTCCTGGCCCAGCTCTGGCTGTGGTGGGCATTTTGGGGGAATAAATCAGCAAGTGGAAGATGTGTGTGTGTGTATGTGTGTGTGTGTGCATAGGGGGGGGACTGCCTTTAAAGTAAATAAACAATTTTTAAAAACAAAATGCCAGGGCGCTGGGTTCTAGTCCCAGTTGCTCCTCTTCCAGTCCAGCTCTCTGCTGTGGCCCGGGAAGGCAGTGGAAGATGGCCCAAGTGCTTGGGCCCCTGCTCCCGCATGGGAGACCAGGAGAAGCACCTGGCTTCTGGCTTCGGATTGGCACAGCGCCGGCCATAGCGGCCATTTGGAGAGTGAACCAATGGAAGGAAGACCTTTCTCCTGTCTCTCTCTCTCACTGTCTGTAAACTATATCTGTCAAATAAATAAATCTAAAAAAAAATGCCAAAAAAAAAAAAAATGACATGATTTGTTCTCCACAGAGTAGAGTGATTGGACTTTTTTTTCTCTGTCATCAGCTTTTCAAAAACCACAGGCCAGGTAGTAGTGAGCAATAGTTATTAGATTCTTCACGTGCTACCTTCTCAAAAGCTCCTCTGTAAACTGTGTCACTTGAGTATTCTGACATCCCTGACGTATTCCTCCCATTGGATACAGTGGTACATATCTTCACAGCTGCTACTTAGCTACAGGCCTCAGAAACACATGCCCTTGAGTAAAGTATTGATTTTTCACACTGTACATTACAGAATTGTGGCCCAAATTTTCAAATACATGATTCCCACGCATCCCACTTGGAAATCTCAGTAATGACCAGCACTCGTGGCCAGGCGCAAGCCATGATGTGGGAAGCACTGGGCAGTGCAGCCTGTTTCTCTGATCTGCCCTTACATGAGTCCCAGGCAAGTGTTGTGTGTGTGTGTGTGTGTGTGTGTGTGTGTGTTTTGAAGAAAATATGCGTAGGGGCTAAGGGAGGCCAACTGATCAAAAATAGAAAGTGAGGCTTGACAACTAAGCACCCTGAGAAGCTTCAAGCAACTTTGGAATTCATTTATTTGGAATAAAAATAAGACAGCAGCATTTCCTCTCAGTTTCTCCCCCTTTTAAGCGATCCAAGAAAATAGAAATAGAATCCTCATCTCCAATCTGCCGAGGCCCACATTTGTTCAATTCTGCAGCAAGTAGACTCCAAATGAGTTGACTCTGTGGGGCCTCAGTGTTTCTTCTCCCCTTGCAAAGTGTTGGGGCTGGAAAAGGGTGACATGAGCTTGCTTAGCAGCGTGTGTGGTTGGCAATGCTGGCAGGTGCTTCCTCTCTGCCAGACTTTACGCTACGTCACAAACACAGAAATTGAAGGGCTTTGTCCCTTGCCCAATGTCACAGAGAAATAGCGGGGGCAGGATTTGAACCCAGGTACTCTGGTCCCAGACAGCTCCACTTCACCTTCCAAAAATATTCAGAAACATGTGGGAGCTTAAGTGCACTTTTGACCTTTGGCCTGAGACCTGGAAGAGTCTCAGATTTCTTCTGTAATGCATTCCGCCAACTATTTGTGTTGGTTTTAGAAGAAGGCTATTTCTTGGCACCTACGAGAGAACTTCAAAAACTTCATGGAAAACGGAATTGCAAGATAAGTTTATTTTAGTGCAAAAACAGTTTTTGCTCGTAATCTGCATTTTCCACAAACTTTTTGAAGACCCCATGTAAACTGAAATCCACAGTGTATTTATTGTCTTCATGGCAAGTTTTAATTCTGCACATCTGGGTGGGCTGACCCAAGGATGAAAATGCGAAGTTCACTAATACGTGAATCTGGTGAAGGAAGCCTTCTCTCTCCTGGATTAGGCATGTACTTGTCTTATACATCAAATGTCTCTTGCAGAGCACCAAACCAAACACTATACCTGCCCTCACTCAAGATAGTATCTAACCATTTTGCAGAAGAGCAAAGTGATCCTTTTAAAAAAATAAAACTTATCTTTTATTATTTACTTATTTGAGAGAGACAGAAAGACCTTCCATCCATGGACCCCCAAAATGTCCCAAACTGCTGGAGGTCCAAAGCCCAAATTATGGGACTCGATCCAGGCAGGTCTCCCACGTGGATGCCAGGGACCCAATCACTTCAGCTATCAACGCTGCCTCCCAGGGTGTGCGTTAGCAGGATGCTCTGAGCAGGAGTCCAGACGCGCGAGAACAGGCATTCCAACTGGTGTCTTCACCTCTCAGCCAAGAACGTTTAAGGCGGCTTTGAGATCAGCGTGCCTGTCTGTCGCTGAGACTCGCTAACACTCAGCCAAGAGGCATTTCGGGAGAGCCTGGGGCCGCCAGCGGGGCCGCCCGTGGCTTCGGGCCTGCCCAGCAGCACATTCCTGCCTGTGATGAGGCTGACTCAGCCACTGCGCTCCAGTTCTCCCGCAGGGAAGACAGGCTCGGAGATTTCTGTGCAGCTAGGGATTAGCTGACTCCCGCAGCTGTGGATTCCTGTGGGCTCCTATTGCTCATGTAAAGATACAGCCAAATTCCTTTCTGTTTTTGTTTTTGTTTTGTTTTGTTTTAAAGAAAAGGGAAAAAGAAACCTTCTTTTTGGAGTGTCTGGTTGGCATCTGTCTCTGAGGAATATATAATTTCCATGAAGAATGCTCTCACTTTTAGAAAAAGCCAACCAGCCGGAGGTTCATCTAAATTGAAAACTTAAAGACACGAGCAAGCTTCTCATTCTCACTTGCAGAATTCAGTCTGGCCTCGTGGTGATGGTGAGGGTCCCCCGTCCTGAGCTCCTCCTCCTGATGACCGGGAGGGTTAGTGTTCGCACGACACAGTCGCTGTGCAAAGGGAAAGTTGAGCCCAGAGACTCCAGGAAGGCTGTCTGTGAAATGAGAAAGGAGAGGACATGTGCACACGGCCCTTTCCTACCTTCCCTCTTACTGAGCATCTTCTGAGACAGAGGAGCTTCAAAAGAAGGGTCTGGTAAAAAGTTAGGATTTTTGTGAGACCGAGGTGGAGAGCAACATGGAAACCATGACTAATTGGCACCTTGCCGCCAGCACCTCCTGGCCCAGCTGACATTGGCACGTCAGAGGAGCTGCAGCTGTTGACAAGGTCTCCACCCAGATCCCCACCACCTCGCACACCCCCGCC